GTATGATTACTAATAATATGTGCCCCTAACTCCACTCCCCATATCATCCAAGAAATGCAACATTGTATGCAAGAGCATATTGTCATAAAGTGGTAGAGATGTACAGCACAAAAACAAACCCGTCGGTCTAACTGATCCATGCTGACCAGATATCCTAAATTAATCTAGTCCCATTTGCCAGAATTTGGCCCATATCCCTCCTATCCTTCCTATTCATGTACCTATGTACCCATCCAGATGCCTTTTAAATGTTGTAATTGTACCAGTCTCCATCACTTCCTCTGGCAGCTCATTCCATACACATACCACCTTCTGCATGAAAAAGTTGCCACTTAGGTCCCTTTAAATCATTCCCCTCTCACCTTAAATCTATGCCCTCTAGTTTTGGACTTCCCTACCTTGGGTAAAAAGATAAAAACTGAAAGAACTGCGGATGAAGTAAATCAGAAGTTGCTGGAAAAGCTCAGCAGGTGTGGCAGCATGTGTGAAGAGAAATCAGAGTTAATGTTTTGGGTCCAGTGACCCTTCCTCAGTCACCAGGCCCGAAACTTAACTATGATTTCTCTTCACAGATGCTGCCCCAGACTCTTGCTGAGTTTTTCCAGCAACTTCTGTTTTTGTTCCTGGCTAAAAGACCTTGGCTATTCAGAATTTGTCTTCAGAATTGGATGTCTGTCTCAAGGTCAAGAATCTAATTTTTCCAATCTTGCCATATTTTCCCAAATGACTCACCAATGTTCACGTCGTTCAGGAACAGGGAAGATTCCATCTTCTGTCACTGATTGAGTGTGAGAAAAGTCAAAATGTGGCTGAGCTGGAGGCTGCCTGTTTCAACAAGTTGCTGCTGTTTCGTAGCAAACACTTATTATGATATAAAATGCTTTACAGCAAGAAGCTATTGATATTTAAGATAATTTTACATACAGATGAATAATAAATATTGGAGGGAACAAGAAAAGAAGAGGAAGTGATGGGCCTTTATAAACAATAATTTCCCATCATCATCCCTGCACATTTCATCAGGATAGGGAAGGATGACTGTGAGAACCCACCCAATTCACAACTAAGTCAGCTAAAAAAAAAAATTAAGTACTCATAGCAGGCCAGCTTCGGCTGCATGCTAAGTCACAGGAAGATATTATAATCTGACCTGATGTTATAAGTGGACAAGTCAGATCCAGACTGAAATCTGGCTTGGTATTTTTTGTTTTTATTGAACAAGGTAGTTTTCCATTGATTACAAGCACTCAATGCTACTGTTCTGGTCTTAACAATAAAAAAAAGTTTTAATGCAAAAGATAAGCTAAAATAAAATAAAGCAAGCTACTTACATATAACACAATTTAAGAGATGTCGAAACACAGTAAAAATACAATATTCTATCTCTTTACAGTACTGAAACACCAGAGAGCATTCCCTACTTCATCATATCTATTGGTTTGATTTAACTGTTATCTTTAATTTTCAGACATTAGAGTTTGACATCATCTTCTTTGAATATTTACACAACTGAGCTTATACATACTCCGCTCAAATTGGTTCTAGCCAAACACATCTGGTCTGGAACTCCCAACTAAAACCTGAAACATTAACGGTAACCAGTTTCCTATCTTTCTGAACTAACTCCTTTTTCTAGAAGAAACCATTTCATACATCTAACTTCAACTGCGAACTGAAAACAGAAGTCCTGAGCGGTGGCTTTTCACCTAAATAAAAAGAAACTCAATTCCTGTTCCCTTTAACTGAAAGCAACCAATGTCTTCAATGTTAACACTATCCACTTGTAAAACATTCCCACTGCAAACAACTTTCCATTAGCATTCCATGGACTCCCACTTCATACCAGTTTTAAAAACCATGGCTCTAGAAATACTGAGAAAATTAATCATTATAACTCTCATACAGACAGACCAAAATCCACATGGCACTAAGTCTAAAACCCAAATTCTAAAATACATGATATGAAAATGTATATAAATCACACAACTTATATCACACAAACCAGAGGTATAGAGGCAGCAACAACTTTGACCAGAGATAGTAGGAACTGCCGATGCTGGAGAATCTGAGATAACAAGGTGTAGAGCTGGATGAACACAGCAGGCCAAGCAGTGTCAGAGGAGCAGGAAAGCTGACGTTTAGGATCTCGAACCTGCTCCTCTGATGCTGCTTGGCCTGCTGTGTTCATCAACAATTTTGACCATGTGGTTTATAATGAAGAAAAAAGCTGGCAACTACAGGAAGATATCAATAGAACAGCAGCAAATGAAAAGGTAATTCATTTGGAGAAGACGACCAAAACAAGGGAAACACAATAAATGATCAGATGTTGCGATGTGTAGAGAAATAAAGGACCTTTGCGTCACATACACAGATCCCTGAAGGTGGGAGAACTGTTGGATTAGGTTGTCACAAAAACATACAGGATATTTGCCTTTATAGACTGAGGCGTAGAATATAAACATGGGAACTGCAGAAAATGTTTCGGCCACAGTTGCAAGACTGCATGTATGCATGGTCACTGCACTATATGAAATATCTAATTGTACTAGAAAGTTGTTTTACAGGGGTGCTGCCTAAACCAGAGAATGGATGTTTTCCACAGAACCCATGTCATGATCATCTGAAAACAATTCCACTGGACCTGCCACATGCTTAGGATGCCTCCGTTCTGAGTGCAAAGCAAATCATTTTCACCCAGCTCAAGGAAGGCACTTGGATGAGAGGAAGACACAGGAAACATTTCAAAGACTCCCTGAAAGCTTTCTCTCAAGAAATGCAATATTGATGTAAATGTGAGGAACACCTTTGTTCAAAACAAAAGTGACTTCAAGGAAGCTCTTGTATGAAGGAATACAATTCTTTAAGAACACCCACTGGCAAGAGGAAGTACTAAAAAGGATCATGACAAAGGAACACTGGTGATCCCAAGGATAAGGAGTAATTCCATTTCCAGGAAACATCTACCAAATGTGTGGTCACAGATGTGGCTCTAAGATTGGGTTCATCAGCCATGTAAGGACCCATAGATCCCATGACCAGTGACATTGAATTTCCTAGGTGGACAATCATAACAACTGCTACCTGACACACACCACAAAACTCACAGGTTCCAAATAGCCTTTTTTGAGAACTGGTCAATTTATTCAATTCCAAAAATATGTGACCTTGCAGGCACAATGGACAAAGGAGTTTGCCTCCATCGCTGGATACCGTCAGGGGTGCAGTATCAAGAATTGCAACCATGTGGACATCAAAGCACCAAGTGATCTTTTGGTGAGATTCATTAGCGGGAACAGCTTTCATACCCTCAATGTTCAACTAGCCTGTGACTACAAAGTGTGTGCACTCTCTTTCCTTTCAGCTTGACCCCTTCATTTTCTGACAGTCCAGGGTGCCACAATTCTTCATGCACCTCCCAAACTCTGTGGATAAATTCTAGGTGATAATGGTTATTCAGTAAAGTAATGGCTATTCACCCCTTTTAATATTCCTGAGATGGAGCTACATGCACCCGACAACCAAAGGCATCTGCTTACAGGGATCATCATCAAGCAGACCATCAGGAATCTGGGAATACAGTTCTGGTACCTGAACTAGTTGGGTGCGGCATTCTCAACAATGGTCTTGCATGTTGTAATGGTCTTCTGCATTCTCCACAACTTGAACCTCCGCAGAGGCATAGACCTTAAAGGGGTAAAGTGCTAGACTGACAAGGTTCAAAAGAGGAAGAAGAAGAATTAAATGTGAAAGAGGAGGAAGATGCAGAAAACAGAAATGTCTCAGCTGCCCAGAGATGGTGAGTTCAGCATAGAACTCCAATTTCTTGTGATAATGTCATCAATGTGAGAGATAAGCTGATCCATGCAGGTATTGATTGACTTTTTACAACCCAAAGGACAATATAATCTGAAATACATAGTGCTGTCCATGAAAACATTTTCACTGAAGATGCAGCCTGGAATGGATCTACTTTTACTGGCAATAAATGAAGAACATCTGTCCAGAGGTTTCATCATCCCTGTTTAATGACACTTCTTCATTCTTGGCCAGTTCTAAGTAATGATCCTCATAAGGCCTCAGCTATGGTGGAGGGAATCACTGGTCTATATTTGTGGTTGAAAGACATATGGCAGTTGTTCTATTCAAATAGTTCCCATGGGGCAATTCAAAAGGCTGCTGTACCAATATCATTGCAGGTAAAGCATCCCTGCACTCTGCTGCAGCTCAGCATTTGGTATACTGTCAAATGGCGTGGACAGCACTGTGCCTGTTTAATCTATACACTACAGAATCTGTTCATCCTCTCCACCAGGGATATCTTACATGATATACTCATGGTCAGCCACCATGGCAATCTCTATTGATCCGTCCTCCACAGTGGTCAAGATGTGTAGGTTTGTCACTCCTGAGGTCCTCAGTATCACAGATGCCAGTCAACCAAACCAACCATGTGATATCAAAAAATGGCTGTATACAGCAAAGGCTACGGGTGCTGACAACACTCCAAAAATGTCATAGAACACATGCGCTTCAGAATTAGCCATGTGCCCTGTCAAGCTGTTCCAGCATAGCGATAGACTGGAATCTGTCAAGCAATGTGGAAAATTGCCCAGGTAACTCCTAACCACAAAATGCTGGACAAAACCAACTTAGGCAATTATTACCCCCCTCAGTCATCCCATCAGCAGTGATGGGAGGGAGAGCTGACTGTGCTAATAACCAGTACTTCCTCAGCAATAATTTGCTTACTGACACACAATTTGGATTCACCATCCATGGTCTGAAACACACTTTCAAAGTGCAATGTAATTTCCTTTATTTCTTTTAAATTAATATAGTGTATCCACAGTTTATGATGTTGTCCCCATAACATGGAGAATTTTAGGGCGAAACTGGTTGACCATTTTATGGAACATCTCCATTCAGACAGCAAGCATATCCCTGAGCTTCCTGATGCTTATCATTTCACACTTTCATCTTGTTCCCACTCAGAACTTTCACTCCTTAGTCTGCAATACTGTTGTAGTGAAGTTCAACACAAGCTTGAGAAACAGCACCTCATCTTTATATTCAACACTCTGCAACCTTCTGGAGTCAACTGTGAATTCAAGAACTTTAAATTCTAACCTTTGAATTCATTCTGTTCTGTGCTGGTTTGATCTTGTCATGTTCTTTCTTTATCCCTTCACACTGCATTCAGATGGCTGATATATAGCTATATACATTTTATCTGGACATATCCTTTTTTTCCCCATGACCATTACCATCCATATTGGGTAGTAATTTTTGAACTTTTGATAGTATCTTTGAACCTGAAATGCTTTGTCAGTTAATCTCACCTCCAACCTACCTTCTACCCTATAGATCGTCTCTTTAGTTCTACTTGCTACTTTCTCCTTCAAAAGATTCTAAACATTTCTAACATTGTTAAGATTAAATGAAAGGTCATTTACCTGAAATGTTAACTCAGTTTCCCTCTACGTGCTATCTGACCTGTTTAATATTTCCAGCATTTTCTGTTTTTATTATGCTTATTGAGTTTGATAGTTACATTTGACAATCATAATTGGCAACAGCAAAATTAGATCATCAGAATATGCATGTTGTCTAGGTTTGAGAGTCTGTTTCTGATTTATATTTTTTTAGATAAATTAGAACATCAGTGGAAAAGGAAATGAAAATTATTGCAAAAGAAGGAAACTGAATCAGATGACATTCTCCAGGTCATCTGGAGTTGCTCATCCTAAAGTCTGAGGAAATGGATCTGCCAAAGTTTTTACTGCAGGTATCAAGTATACCTGCCCAAAGCCTTTGAGATTATTTTAGTTATATACATATTGGACCCTTATGATGTAGTTGGGACCTACCTACAGCACTCATTATTTGTCTTACTGCCAAATCTGTCCAATAAGGAAATGATTAGGGTTAAAAGATAAGTTTAGATTTTTAAAGTTATTTCCTTGTCGGGCTGGAAGTGCAGCAGTAATCAAGGAAAAGCAAGCATGATTTGCCAGGTTCTACATAGAAATCATAATTGTCCACTCCCACAGTTTTAGCTCTCCCTTGATAATGATGGCCCCATAAGACAGCCTGGCATACAATCCTGAACTTGGTTGAGGCCTTTCTCTGATGGCACAACTTTGTGCCACATCCTGTATTGATAGTGAGCAAAGATGGCAGACAATTCTAAATACAGCCTGTGTGTTAAATGACTTCTCATTTCTGCAGCAGTCAGGATATTTAACTGTCAAAAATTGGTCCCAATTTTAAAAAAATCTCTGTACACTCTTATGCGCTGACTAACTTGAAGCTAAGGAAAATTTAGATCTGAAACATATGGCCTTACCTGATGGAATATAGATGTTGGAAACAGAGTTGTGTGTAATGATTGGTGAAGAATGCAGAATATAGAAAATGTTTGGAACATTAGTCTCCAGCACTGCCGTGCAAGCAGTCCCTCGCTGCAAACATGCGATTTTGGCTTCAGCTAAAGTTGCTCTTGAATCGTAAGAATACGGAGGTTTGGAACTTAGTCCCCTCTTCTCCTCTTTCAGAAACCAGTCCATAACTAAATCAAATAACGCAAACAATGAAGGAATAAAATTGATTACCTGTTGACTAAAAGGAACATTATTTTCTTTTTGCATACTCTTCCTCAAGGTTGTATTTTCACTCAGGGTCAAATTTACATGATCAAGGCAGGCAGTTTGAGTCAGGAGGTTTCCCAACTTTGCAGACCTGACTCATAGAAAATAGAAAGTTTCTCTTTAGACTTAACTTTTGCACTGTTAGGCAGCAGTGATTGAGAGTTGAGCCCAGCACCCTAGAAGCAGATTGGAAGTAACAACAAAGGCGGCTGTGTTCAAAGCTGGCTGGTTAAGAGGTTGGGATAACAAGGTGTAGAGCTGGATGAACACAGCAGGCCAAGCAGCATCAGAGGAGCAGGAAAGCTAACGTTTTGGGCCTAGACCCTTCTTCAGAAAAAAGGGCCTGCTGTGTTCATCCAGCTCTACACTTTGTTATCTCAGATTCTCCAGCATTTGCAGTTCCTACTATCTCTGGTTAAGAGGTTGGCCTTGGTTCTTTGAGATTTTGCCCAAATTGTTTACTCACATTTCAGATAGTGTAGCACTCACTATTTAAACCCACTCCCCATGTCTCCATGACAACTGAAGGCCAACTCATGCCTCACACACAGCCTCAACGACCCCTCATAACCTCCATTTCAATTCATGCCCTCCACATATCTTCAATTGCCTGAGTGGTAGGGGATATAGGATGGTAGTAGAAGGCTATTTGTGTGACTAGAGGCCAGTACCCAGTGGTGTATCACAGGGATCACTGCTGGGTCCCTTATTATTTGTGATATATACATGGTATATTTGAGAATGTGGGGGGTCTATGGTAAGTAAGTTTCTGGATGACATGAAGATTGGTTGGGCGTTTAATAGTGAGGAAGAATGTCTGTGGTTACAGGAAGACGTATACAAATTGGGCAGATCAGTGGCAGATAAAATTTAACCCTGTAAAGTCTGAGGTGATGCACTGTGGAAGAAGTAACAAGACAAGGGAGTTCTCAATGAATGGCAGGACACTGGAAGCTCAGTGAAACAGAGAGATCTTGGGATACTGTTCTGGGGAGTTGGGTTCAAATCCTGCCTTGGCATATGGTGAACGTTGAATTTGATAAAAATCTAGGATTAAGAGTTTTAATGACAACCATGAAACCATTGTCGATTGTCAGTAAAAAAAATCTGGTTCATTAGTCTCCTTTAGGGGAGAAAATCTGCCATGCTTATCCAGTCTGGCCTACAGGTGACTCCAGACTTACAACAATATGGTTGACTCTTAACTGCCCTCTTGGAAAATTAAGGATGGGGCAGCGAAATCCACATCCCATGAATGAATAAACAAAAAGACAACAGGGAAGATATTTGGATTGTTAAAAAGCCATATAGGACACTTACCTTTAACAGTTGTTGCATAGATTATAACAGCAAGGAGATTATGGAGGAGATGTACAAAATTTTGGTTAGGCCACAGCTGGAGTACTGTGTGCAGTTTCGATTGCTTCACTACATGAAAGGTGTAATTGTACTGGAGGAGATTCACCGGGATGTTGCCAGCGATGGAGTATCTTAGCTATTCAGAGACACTGTATAGACTTGGGTTATTTTCTTTAACACAGAGAAGGCCGAGGGGAGACCTAATTGAGTTGCATGAAATTATGAGGGGCATAGACATGGTGAATACGAAGCAGTTGTTTCCCTTTGTTTGAGGGTCAAAAACGAGGTGGCATACCTTTAAGGTGAAGGGCAGGAGGATTAAAGGGGATTTGAGGCAAAATCTTTTCACTCAAAGGGTGCTAGGAATTTGGGATGCACTACGTGAGAGGGTAGTAGAGGTGGAAACCTCACAACCTTTAAAACGTACATGAATGACTAGCTATGGATGTCTATGACTCTAACTGTACTTCGTACTTACATGCCATTTTGTGTCACTTTCATGTCCCGTCATCCAAAGTGTCAAACAAGCAGAATCTCAAATTATCACTCACAGGTTATACGCACAGAGAAAAAGAATTGTAACAGCACCATAAAACTGTAAATCAAGTCAAGTTAACAATTCTCTGCACTCATATAATCCTTTTATGAAAATTTGGGCTCTTGACCAAGCTTGCATAATGAAGTTTGGCTCAGAGAGAAGACTCCTATAAAAGGATTAACATCATTGACACGGATGGAGAAGTGATGACTTTGCCATTCTGACAGATTTATAATATTATAATAAGCGGTTTTATGCTCTCCTTTTGTCGATGGCTCAATTTTTAATTTATAAAAGATGAAGAGCCTCAAGCACTTATTGCTTTTGGTATGAAAGCTTTAATGCAGGTATGGATTCAATTGAGGCCAACAACATGAACTCCCCACCTACATTCGGGACACTACCCAGACCCTCCACCTCCTTCAAGAATTTCAATTCCCCAGCGCCCCATAACTCATCTTCACCATGGGCATCAAATCCTGTACACCTGTATTCCCCATGCAGATGGCCTAAAAGCCCTCTGCTTCTTCCTCTCCCACAGGTCCAACCAGTCCCCCTCCACCGACACCCTTATCCGCCTAATGGAACTTCTCCTTACTCTCAACAACTTTTCCTTTAACTCCTCCCACTTCCTACAAAATGAAGGGGTGGCTACGGGTATCCGTATGAGTCCGACCTATGCCTGCCTCTTTGTAGGTCACGTGGAACAGTCTCTCTTCCGCTGTTACACTGGCACCATCCCTCACCTCTTCCTCTGCTACATTGATAATTATATTGGTGGTGCCAAATGCTCCTATGAGGAGATTGAATAGCTCATCAACTTTACTAACACCTTTCACCCCAACCTCAAATTCACCTGGACCGTCTCCGATACCTCCTTCCCCTTCCTGGAGCTGTCTATCTCCATCTCTGGTAACCGTCTCAGCACAATTCAAACCCACCGACTCCCATAGCTACCTTGACTAAATCTCCTCTCACCCACCCTCTTGCAAGAATGCTATTCCTTACTCCTAATTCCTCTGCCTCCACCACATCTGCTCCCAAGATGGAGCGTTCCACTCCCGGACATACCAGATGTCCTCCTACATTAAAGACGTCAACTTCATTGATTCATAATGCCCTCAAATGCATCTCTTGCATTTCCTGCACTTCTGCCCCCAAAACCCCGACCCCAACAAAAATAAGGACAGAGTCCCCCTGGTCCTCACATACCACCCCACCAACCTCCGCAACCAGTGCATTATCCTCCGCCATTTCCACCGCCTGCAATCCAATCCCACCAACAAAGAAATATTTCCCTCCTCACCTCTATCTGCCTTTCGTAGGGTCTGCTCACTCCATGACTCCCCTGTCCACTCCACACTCCCCACCAACCCCACCACACCTGGAACCTTTCCCTACAACCGCAGGTGGTGCTACACCTACTCCTACGCCTCCTCTCTCACCACCATCCAATGCCCCAGACAATCTTTCCAAATCTGACAGGGATTCACCTGTACATCCTCCAACCTGGTCGACTGTATCTGTTGCTCCCGATGTGGTCTCCTTTACATCAGTGAGACCAAGCACAGACTCGGTGACCAATTTGCGGAGCATCTGCACCCTGTACACTATAATCAATAACACTTTCCAATTGCCAACCATTTTAATTCCCCCTCCCACTCCCTTGGTGACATTTCCATCCTGGACCTCCTCCAGTGCCACAATGATGCCACACACAAACTGGAAGAACAGCACCTCATATTCTGCCTCAGGAGCATACAGCCTGATGACCTTAATAGAGTATTCACCAGTTTCAAAATCTCCCCATCCCCGGCCTCATGCCATGTTCAAGCCTCTCTCTCATCCCTGCCTCCTTGACCTGACACTACCTGTCCATCTCTTTCCCCACCTATCCGCCCCACCCATCCCACTGACCAATCCCCACTACCTCTACCTGCATCCACCTATCGTCATCCCACCTTTCTTCCCCCAGCCCCACCTCTTTTTCCTCTATTTATTTCCCAGCTCCGTTCCCCCTCCCCATGCCTGATGAAGGATGTAAACCTGAAATGTGGACTTTCCTGCTCGTGTGATGCTGTTTGACCTGCTGCGTTCCTCCAGCTCCACTCTGTATTGACTCTGTCCCAGCATCTACAATTATTGCTATCTCTGGGTTCAAGGTATACAGGTTGGAATAGAATTAGGATTGGCCTTTTTGCCCTACCTCTGGCACATGTCGTGGGCTGTGGATCAAATTTACCATAGGGCAAAGAACAGCCAAGGATTAAGGTTGTTAATATGCTCCACATTTTTAGCGTATTGTTTTTCTGATCATGCTTGCAGTCTGATTGCTAACATGCCAAGATAAATTAAGCAATTAATACCCTTAAGCAATTATTTAGATTACTGCAAATGTTCAGGGAGGGTGATGACAGTTTTAAATTGATAGTACATGAAAACCTTCTACTTGATACTTGCTATTTGTTTGTTTGCAGCAGTTTCATAAAGGCAACACCCAAAATATTCCAGTAAAAATTCTCCCAAACCATTTTGCTTACATTTTTTTGATTTACAAACAAATGTTTTTATTTCTGAGCAGCTTCTGTCCATTAGTAGTCCTGTGTTTGCATCCATCTCTACACAGTCCTTTGAATCTCCATTCATTAAATCTTTCTTTAAGAACCTTCAATTAATAGGAGAAAAAAATATGATTGGCCTGAAAAGAAGGTAGGAATTCACTAATGACATTAATTAAATATTATTTTATTCTGATAATAAAAGCAACTATCTTTCACTTAGTTGGCTAAAAAGCATTTTAGGACATCCTGACCTCATAAAGGCAGTTATTTAATTGTAAGATTTTCAGAGGAAAATTGTAATATTTTTGCACTGACATAAAGATCTAGCCTGGTGTTATTAAATGGTGGAGCAGGTTTGAACGGCTGAACGGTCTACTCCTTCTTGTATTTCTTATGTTATGACTGAATATCAGAATTCTGCCAATACAACAGCATAAAGCACGTGGGAAGCAGTGGAACAGCTAGTGAATGACAACTGCATCATGCTCTTGGTCACTTCTCCAATGCAGCAGTAAGTTTAATTACTTCACAAGATTAAAAATTTTAGATAGCTGAACTTCACGTTAACTTATTTTCCAAATTTTGAACTGAAAATCTATTTTTACTTTTAAAATGCATTCAGAAATCTAATAGTAATAACCTATGTAGATGGTGGGGATCTGGAGTGTACTACCAGGGAGGGTAGTTGAGGTGAGAAATCTCACAACCTTTAAAAAGTACTTGTTTGAACACTTTAAGTGTCATACTATTCAAGGCAATGGACCCAGTGTGGGAAAGTGAGTCCAGCATAGTTGGTAGTATATTTTTGGCAGTACAGACTCAATGGGCTGAAGGGCCTCTTCTGTATCGTATGATTCTTTGACTTACATTCAGTGCCTCTCTGTTTTCTGTTAATTAGTCAATTTGATCCAACCAGAGGGTGCTGAGACATTGCTCATTTGCAGGAGAGGCAACGCTCAGAGGAGAGGAGACAGAACGTTGTGAGAGCAAGGTTGGCAGCAAGAGTTCCAGACAGTAAAGAAAAGCAAGCCTAAACAGCTTCTGGGAACTGTGGTTGGTGAGTAGCAGGTAAGTTTTGAGAAATTGTTATCGGAGCAGAGAGCACCAACAGCTTCAATTTAGTATTAGAAGTACTTGATGTTGTAAGGATTAATTAAAGGGGTATGACAAGGCAGGAGAGCTCCAAATTACAGCCTGCTCCTCTTGCTCAATGTGGAAAGCTGGCACATTTCCAGTGCCCGGGCCCTGTATTTGTGCAAGAAGTGTCTCCTGGAAGCCCGAGATTCGGAGCTGGAGCATCATCTGGGACATTTGTAAAGCGGAGGGTATCGTGGAAAGCACATAAAAAGATATGGCCATACTGCAGACTCAGACTCCATGGGTAGGAAGGAAATAGGTGACCACCAGGCAGAACAGGAGGGCTAAGCAGGCAGCGCAGGAATCTCCTGTGGCTATTCCCCTGCAAAAAAGATATACTGTTTTGGATATTGATGAGGGGAATGGCCTCTCAGGATAACTGCAGCAGTCAAATTCATGGCACCATGGTTGGCTGTGCTGCAGAGGGTGGAAGAAATAGGCACAGAAATGCTATAGTTATAGGCAATTCAGTGGTAACAGGAATAGATAGGCATTTCTGTGGCTGCAAATGAGAGTCCAGGATTGTCCGTTGGCTTCCTGGGGTGTTAGGGTCATGGATGTCTCAGAGCTGTTGCAAGACATTCTGGAGGGAGAGGTCGAACAGCCAGTGGTCGTTGGTACAAACGAAATAAGTAAAAAAAAAGGATGAGGTCCTAAAAGCAGAATATAGAGAACTGGGAAGATAGTTGGAATGTAGGGATCTCAGGATTACTACTAGTGCCATGAGCTAGTCAGAGTAGAAAGAACAGGATATAGAGGATGAACATGTGGCTGAAAAGATGCGGTGTCGGGTAGGGTTTCAGATTTGTGGGTCATTGGGACCAGTTCTGGGGAAGGTGGGGCCTGTACAAAGTGGATGGGTTACACCTGGCAGGACAGGGACTGATTTCTTGGGGGGGGGGGGGGGTGGTTGGGGGGGGACTCGGTAGCATGGTTGGGGAGGGTTTAAGCTAGTGTGGCAGGGGGGTTGGGAAACAGGAGAAGAGTAGTAGATGCAGAAATTGAGGGAGAGGTAGAAACCAAGGCAAACATGACTAAGAACAAGAACAGGCAGGGAAATGCTGCCAAAAAGAGCAGGCGAGGTAGTTTGAAATGTAAAAGGCATAGGGGAGCTGCATTACTGGGAAAGGAGTATCTCATAGCTGTACTGAGGGAGGATATATCAGAGGACTCGTGCAGTGAGGCAATATGGGTAGAACTCAGGAATAGGAACAGTGAAATCACAATGCTGGGTGTATACTACAGGCCTCCCAACAGTCAGTAGGAGAAGTAGGAGAGAATACATAGACAGACTTTGGAAAGATGTAAAAACAGCAAGGTTGTTGCAGAGGATGATTTCAACTTCCCCAATATTGGCTGGGACTCACTTTGTGCTAGGGGCTTGGATGGGGCAGTATCTGTAAGGACTATTCAGGAGGGTTTCTTGACAGTATGTAAACATTCCAACAGGGAAAGGGTTACACTGGACCTGGTTTTGGGAAATGAGCCTGGCCAGGTGAGTGTAGTTTCAGTGGGGGAGCACTTTGGGAGTAGTGACCATAATACTGTGAGTTTTGAGATACTCATGGATAAGAATAACAGCAGTCCTTGGGTGAAGGTGTTAAATTGGGGGAAGGCAAACTCGGCAGGAACTGGAGAATTTTGATTGGAGGCGGCTGTTTGAGGGTAAATCCATATCAAATATATGGGAGTATTTCAAACACTAATTGATAAAAGTTCAGGAGTGGCATGTTTCTGTGAGATTGAAGGATAGGTATGGCAAGTTATGTGACCTTGGATGACCAGGGATGTTATGATCTTGGTCGAAAAGAAAAAGGAAGCATATGTAAGGTCTAGAAGGGTGGGAACTGACGAAGCTGTTGAAGTATTTAAGGAAAGTAGGAAAGAACTTAAGCAAGGAATTAGAAGGGCTAAAAGGGGTCACAAAAAGTTGCTAGCAAACAGGTTTAAGAAGAATCCCAAGGTTTTTTACACGTATATAAAAAGCAAGAGGATAACCAGGGAAAGGATTGGCCCACTCAAGGACAAAGGACGGAATCTGTGTGGAACCAGAAGAGGTAGGCAAGATCCTAAACGAATATTTTGTGTCAGTATTCACCAAAGAGAAGGAATTGGTGGAGGATGATCTCAGGGAAG